TTTGGCCCGAAGTAGCTCGTTTGGCCTAAGTGGAGAAGTTGGAATCAGAGCAAGCCGAAGAAAAAAGCTCGTTTGGCCTACGGCGGAGATGGAGCCAATAATTGGAATCAGAGCAAGCCGAAGAGAAGCCGTGAATTCGCGCACTGACGGCGGCGGATTGCAGTTTGGCCGTGAACGACAAGCAGAGATGAGCGCCCAGTGTTGAAACCGCGTCACGATAACTAACCAAGATTCACGCACACTTCTGGACTCTTCTTCAACCAAGAACAAGTAGTTTGAAGAGCGACTTAAAATCAGACCACAGAAACAAGTATTTTTTTTTCGACTTTCGTCCAAGGACACGCCGAAACACAAATTTCTTAGAGAGCAGACAACTGGAAGCCTTAAAGTTGCCTAGTAAAAGCGTTGTGCCACAGAACGGGTCGGGAAGTAGACATAGTCCTATGTACCGAGCAAAGAGACATAAAAGTTTGTTACCTTTTTCTTGATGCGTTGGACCTTGTGAGTTTTTATTTTATTTCTTTTCTTATTATACATAATTGTGTGTTATCACCCCCGTTAGACTCAACTTGCATTACGGCCCCAAGCCCTGTTTGATCTCGTCTGTCTAAGATCAAGTCACAACGTGGGTAGGCAGACCGGAGATCAGTACAGTTACCCTGGTAACAAGGCGTTGGAAGCGGGTTGAGAACGACGAGGCTGGTATCAATCTAACCAAAGGGTTAGAACGTCACGTTTGGAGCAGCGAGGAGCGAACAGCTGACGCAGCGACAAAAGACGTCACAACGGGTGCTGTCCGTGACCAGGATATCAGAGCCTGGGGAGCACGTGACGTCACAATTGGCGCCGCGAACGGGATCGAACGACACAGTCGACGCTGCGACCGGGGGACGACGTCACACACTAACCACCTGAATATTGCGTTTGGTATCAAACTCCGAGTAGTGCAAATGGTGCAGGATTATATAACCAACTTTTGAATATGGATCTAATCAACTTGGATTACTCCACTAAAATTATTATGGTTCATCATATAAAATCTTACGAACTGATCCGTTACACAAGATAGAAAACGTAATAAAAATTTTGAGGAAGGAAGTTATTCCTTTCCAATCACAATAACGAAGCTAACAAGTCTAAAAATCCCGATCTTTATGGATTCAAGTTCCCCAAAACGCCACCATGTGACGAACAATTATCGGATTTTGAAATAGATCTATTCGCGTTAATTGAGAAAATTAAATTCGCTAGAAATTCCAACGATCTATAGTTTAAAACTTCGAAAGGATCCAAAAAAATAATCAAGGAAAAGTGGGTAATCATTACAAGATCAATGCTAACGTACACCGCAAAGCTATTAACAGGGAATTCAACAAATCTTATAAAAAGGCGCCCATAAACTAGGAAAACAATATTAATAAGAAAGCCAAGGAAATAGCCAATGAACTAAAAATCAATGATAGAATCTACAAGTTGCATAAACAAAAAGCATTCATCATGGATAAAGACTATAAACATAACTTTTCAAATAAGCCTCAATATCGATTACTACACCTACAAAAACAATATCCATAAAATCAGCAGAATCGTTTTTGAAAAAGCATGCAAATACACCAAAAATGCGCTAGGAATCAACCTGTGGCCAAAAAAAAAGCAGCTGATGCTATAGAATGGTTTAATAACATAAAAAAGAAATATGAATGCAGAGTCATACAATTTGATATTTATGACTTCTATCCGTCCATTGCAAAGAAACTAATGGCGGCTATAAAACTAGCTAGAAATTACTGCCCTATTTGTGATCAGGAAATAAATATAAAGCAGTACAAACATCGGTACTTTTCCACAGTGGTTGTCTGTGGACTAAGAGAAACAACCCAGAGTTTAATACTTCTATGGGTACGAATGATTCTGCAGAAGCATGTAATATTATTGGAATTCTGTTCATGCGTCGTCTCAAATTTTTGTTCAACATTAAGGACACCGGGATATATATAAAGATGACGGTGTAATTCTCCTCCGGAAATATTAGCCCGCGCAAGATAGACCGATTGAAAAAAGAATTTATAAAATATTTTAAGAACCATGATCTAAACATTACCACAAAACCACGAATGTTAAAGTGATTAATTTTCTAGATGTAAGATTAACCTGATTACCATAAACAATACACAAAAGAACTACATAGAAAAGGAATTACATAACCCCAGATACGTTAGTAAAGATTCTAACCACCATCACAAAAATTACATTATCCAGTAACTCTAGCAATAAAGAAATATTTAATAATGTTAAAGATAAATATTTTAAGTCATTGGAACTTAGTAATCATAAAGTAAACTTAGAGTATTGTGGGAAAAACAAAGATAATAAGACAATATGCCATGTGATTGGCCCTGATCTGGCATCTCGCTTACAGTCGCTCTCTCACATTCATGTTGTCACTTTCTCTGTCTTTTCTACAAATACTTTCACGTCACCTGCTCCGACTAGCTACTTTCTCTGGTTCCCAAACTGCATGAATTTAAACGCGCTACTAGGTTGGCATCTCGGTCCCAACCGTTCACCGTTGAAACGGTTAAATATAATCGTCTCTTCTACTCCAATAGCTTCATGTATCGCACTTCCCGTCTGTGGAACTCCCTTCCCCTTACTTGCTTCCCTGATAGCTATAATCTCCAAATATTCAAATGCAGTGTCAATCGACATCTTCAGATGCCTTGATCTATTCCCCGTCCTTCTCTTCATCCTTTTCTTAAATACCCCTCTTTACTCTTACTTTTACTATCTGTAACCCCTTGCGTGCTAGTGATACTCCCGCCTTGCTTGGGGTGAAACGCTTAAAAAAAAAAGAAAAAAAAAGGGAAAACACCGTAAACACAACATCATATCGTTTAACTCACCATTTAACCGTAATTTCCAAAAAAATGTAGGAAATAATTTTCCTGAAGTTAATCCATAAGAATTTTAGCCATTCACCAGCATTAAAAAAGATTTTTAACAAAATATAATATCAAAGTTATTTATAGTTGACTAGTAACATTGATAGATCTATATCACTACATAACAACACTATATTAAGTAAACATATTTTCAACAATAACAACGTACATTTTTTTCCAAAAAATAAATGCAACTGCTGAAAAAATACGATTTGTCCATTAAATAGTCAATGTATGAGCGATGGTGTTGTATATCTAGTATGCATTCGTTCCGGTAGTGATGTAAAATTTTATTTTGGCTCCACTGAAAATACACGGAATCTTCGCTTCTACCACCAACATATGACTGGCTAACATTAAATATAGAAATAGAACCGCCCTCTCTAACTATTTCTGACAATTGAAAGATTCCGGTAATTCCCCTTCAAGGGAAATCAATGTAATCTATGATTAGTTGAAAAAGTAATCATCTTGCAACATGTAAATAACCTGGGCTTACTGAATAAGAGAAGTGAACTGATGCTACATGTAGGCCTAAAAGCAAATATCTACTTAAACAGGTTGACACGGGCTAATCTCTCTATGATATCAAGGTGGGTTTGTGGTATTTATATATATATATATATATATATATATATATATATATATATATATATATTTATCTATTTGCTTATTAACTTATTAATTTATTTACTATTTATTTACTATTTTGTATGTATGATGGGTTATTACTTATTGTTTTTTGCTAATATATATATATATATATATATATATATATATATATATATATTTCATTGAATACGACAGAGAGAGTGCTTTTATTTAGTTTAATTACTTCATCGGAAAAGAAAAAAATATTAGATCGCATGAGAAATTGTATAAAAACTAAATAAAAACCTTGTCTATCGTATTCAATGAAAATGTGCATGAAAAGAAGGATTTGCTGCCTAAATACACACACACACACACACACACACATATATATATATATATATATATATATATATATATATAAATTATTTCTTATATTTTTTATTTTATTTTTTCTATGGCATTGGTACTTATTTTTGCTTTAGTATTTTGCTTTAGTATTGGTACTATTTTATATTTAATTATATTTTATTAATTAATATTAAATTAGATTAAATTAGCTCCATTCTATTATATAATGTATTTACTAATCAATAGCTGATAACTGACCTTAAATAAAATTAATAATTTATAAAAATTCAAATTAATAATATATACTTACCCTTTATGGTAAGAAAGGTTATATTAGTTGCTGGATTTAATACCATTCGAAATATATATATTTAAAAGTTGTTTTTTTTAATATGTCCGAATATAGATAGAACTTAACTTCACCAGCATTATGTTAAAGTTAAAGTAATATATTTTCAAATTTTAACTAAAGGTCAGTACACACTCAGTACCTGAAGATTGCATTCGGCATGAAACTCTGGGTAGTGCAAATGGTGCAGGATGTTATGTATATTTATTAATATATATATATATATACACCTTATAGCGCTGTTATATAACACCGAGCATTGTTCCAAGAAGACGAGAAATTTATGTGTAATTCTTATATATATATATATATATATATATATATATATATATATATATATAAAGTGGACAATTGCATATAGCATGAAACAGACTGTCGCCTCTAAGTGTTGACTTCTATGTTCACTTTTATATTTACACACGCTCTATCTCTGATATTGAGCACTTTATCCCATAAATATAGCACACCTTAAGACTATATTTTCTTTTTATATATATATATATATATATATATATATATATATATATATATATATATATATAATATGAGAGTTATTTACGTTGAATTTATTTATTTGCGGCATTGTCCTTATCAATAACACAGAAACTTCCGAGTAATTACGAAAGTCTAGATGGATGATACTGGTAATTTCTCCAGTGACTGTAAAAATTGATCAGGTTGAGATAGATAGATAGCTATGAAGACAATGAGATAGTTAAGCAAGAAATCACTCAAGATCTTGAAGATATTTATAAAGATTAAAAGATATGAACAGATATATGCGAAAGATTGTTAGTAGATGAAAAAAGATATCTTTATCTCTTGACAGATTGAATAAATTGATACAGATCGATGGAAAACTATGGAGAGATTGGAATATAAAAAATGTTTTATTCTTTTTTAATTAGATTATTTTAATTTTGCTACTAAGTAGGTTGGAACTCTCGTAAGAATTGGTTTTTGCTAGAAATGCTTTCTAATCAAACAATGGCAGCTTTTCGAGAGATCATATTTGAAGATATTAATTGGTTGCATTCTTAACTTCCGAATATTAAGGGCAGTTTGCAAAATATTCTTGTGAAATAATTTTTCTCCCATCTTTGTTTCAGCAGTTTGTTTTTTTTTCTTTATCATTTCACTGAGTTTTCATATTCATTTCTTTTCAATAACATCATTATTTCTTTTTTTCTAATCCCTTTTTATTTTTAAATTCTAACGTCTCTTTCCTTAGAGTGAAAATAGATGCCAACTTGCTTTTGTTTTGTTTTTGTTTTTCTGCTTTCTTTTTGTTTTGTTTTTTGCTTATCAGTCTTTCTTTCTTTCTTTGATCTACCATTCTCGGCTTCTTTATTTTTATTGTTTTTTTTTCTCTTTCAGTCTCTTTAATTCTGTTGTTTCTTTCTCTCTTTCTTTTTTATTTGGTTCACATGCTTCTTTTCCAGTCCTTACTAATTTCTTTCTTTCTTTTTTCTTTCTTTCTTTTTTGTTTTGTTTCTTGCTTATCCGTCTTTCTTTCTCTCTTTCTTTCTTTCTTTCTTTTTTCTTTCTTTCTTTTTCGATCTACTTGTTTCTCAGTCTTCGCTTCTTTTTCACTACTTTTTCTTTCAGTCTCTTTAATTCTGTTTATTATTGTTTCTTTCTCTCTTTCTTTTTTATTCGGTTCACATGCTTCTTTTCCAGTCCTTACTAATTTCTTTCTTTCTTTCTTTCTTTCTTTCTTTCTTTCTTTCTTTCTTTCTTTCAATTTGACTGTTTTCCAGTGTTTATCTATTTATGTATTCATTTCCTGCATTTTGTTGCATGGTTGATTTACCTGCTAATAATCTTTATTTCCTTTTTTTTTCAGTCTTTCTGTGAGTCTTTTCTTGTTCGAATTTTGTTTGCTTTATTTCTTTTTCCTTTTCATTTATTCCTTCATTCTTTCTTTCTTTCTTTGACTTCTTCACGTCACCCTGTTCCTCAACCACACTGGGTCTTTTCAACATTTATTATTGCAATTGTCGATGAGTGGTTTTGAAACACTTACTTTTTTCAGCTTGCCAACTTGGAGGCGTAAACCTTTCTCGTCCTTACCGCAGGAACTCTCTACCAACCCTAGCCCTAGTCTCCACTGCTTCCTTCCCCATTCTTCACTCTCCATTGATGCTAATTCTGTCAAGTGCAAAGGATAAATGGTCTGCTAGTTGTACCGGCCGTTTTAAGCCGAGCATTATTGACCAGTCTATTCTATGAATGGATTTGAAATTCTTTGCCAATTAGAGAGCTTTCTCAATGGCATCGTGCAGGCAACTCCTTAGCCGAGAAATGACCGGCAGGTGGCATTGCCATCAATCGATGGCGTCGATCAACTTAATGTATTAAGATATCTTTTCTACACAATTTTCTGATGAAGAAAAATGTATTAATACATATTGGTGGCTTTATAATGTCTTTCGGCTTTATCACACGTGGGATGGCTTCGTTTTGCGCATATTTTGCACACAATTGATGCATTAATGATAAAAGATAAAGAAAAGGACGATCCAATAGAAAGTAGAAAGATCCGTTGTCAATATAAAAAGACCACGGCAAATACGACAAATTTGCGTTCTATTAGATTTTATTCGGAATGTGTCGACTGAACATACTTATTTCTTTGTCCTGTGTCAGAAACTTATTTTTTTATTTTTTATTTATTTATTTATTTTGCAATAGATTTATCCAGGTATGTATATAAGGAGTGGAGTCAGAACGTTCTATAACTAAGACTAAGGAAAATACAGCACTACTTCAGAAAATAATATGTTCTTATATTATTGAAATTTAGCCACAATTGCATTCGAAATAGTCAAATTGAAAATGGAACACATGGATCAAAGTTTTTTTTTTTTCATGCCTCAAAAGTACCGCGTAAATTGTTTGCATGCTTTTTCACCCCGAAACGACACGAAAGGAATCTCTGCCAAAACGCAGAATGATGCATTTCGAGGATCTCAGTAACATATTTGCCAAAATCGACATGACATTCAATGCAGGCACGTTGGTCGAATTTGCCAAAACGTTAGATATAGTTAAATGATTAAGGACATAGAAGAAAGGAACTGGTAAACCATATCCTAAGCAGCAAACAAAGGATAAACCTAGACAACTTTTCAATAAATATGGAATGATTAAGGGGACTAGGCTATAGGCGAACATATATACTATTACCCCATACACATCACAGGCAGTTCGGGTTTTTTTTTTGATATACCATCACTAGAGAGGTCATATAATATATATATATATATATATATATATATATATATATGTGGGGGGTGTATTTGTGTATGTATTTCAGTTTGTATCTATACATATGTATGTACATATGTATATATGTGTGTATAAATATATATGTGTGTGTGCATGTGTTCATATGTATCTATATGTACGTGTATATATGTGTGTATGTGTGTTCGCATCTGTATACATTTATACATGTTCGTGTGTGTGTATATATATATATGTATGTATGTATGTATGTGTGTGTTTGTGTATATGTATGTTGCTTTATATGTATGTCCAAATCGTGTAACAGCATAACTGTCCATCCTACAAAATGCTTAATATCTAAAAAGAAAAACCACTAAACTAATTGAATTTCTTTTTTCTAGGTTTTCAGATAAGACGTTTATCCATCTTGTCATTATTTGTCGTAAAAATCACTGAAAAACCCTTTGAGCTAGAAAGAGAACAGGTTAAAATCGTTTTGTGTCAGTCCCACTGTCTTCCTAAATGAGCAATGTTGAGAGGAAAAGATCATTCAGGTCTTCGGTAATGGTACCAACATTTATATACTGCCTTCCATCTTCAAAGTCCATTCAAGAACCATCAAGTGAACGTTGAATAAGTTTTAAAAAGATGGAACAGTAGTGGGAAGAAGATTGGAATCGCAGGAAGATGTCTTTAAGCATTTATAAGATACAGCTGTTCAGAGCTTAATGTAACAATTGGACAATTTTGCTGTTACACCCGGTATATATAGAGGGGTTACTTTCATATTTCTTTTAAACATGCTTTATATTGGGGTAGGAGGAGTGAACTAACCGTGACCTATTTAGATGGTTAACTTAACGGAAATGATATATAGGAATGGGAGGGTAGTGGGGGGGGAAAGAAAAGGAAAAATGGAAAGGAGAGAGGGGATAGACAAACAGTAATACAGATATATCTAAATGAGTGTTACGGCAAAGAGAGGGGGAGAGGGAAGTGAATCGAAAGAGGGTGTAATTTTGTTTTAACAAAATTATGTAAAAGATAGATTTCAATGCTTGATAGAAATTTAGATGTCTAAAAAATGATGAATGTTATCAATTTAAACATTTAATTTTGTAAGTAAATAGTTTAGGGACTTAATATAAGTTAACTACTATTTTTAATAGCACATTTATCGAGAGCATATTAAAGAAATATTTAAAATTATAATAGTTTATTTACCCGACAAATTGACTTAACCGTTAAGTTAACCATCTAAATAGGTCACGGTTCGGTCACTCCTCCTACTATAAAGCATGCTTAAGAGAAATATGAAATTAACCCCTCCCTATACTCTACCTTGTCTCGTTAACTACAACTATCACCCTCCCTGTTAAATTACAAAAATTACACAACCCATCAATTTCTAATCCCATTTTTCCTTTCATTTCGTTGTTGGAAGTGTTACCTGATGATCCGGAGTCCGTCCTTTAAAAAGGATTTTGGTGAAATAAATTATTGTAATGGTACCTTAAAGTGGTCTGTTTTTTCATTAAATATTAGCTCTGTATTCACATTGAGCTCTCAGGATTTCATCCTCCTTGGAATTACCCATTCGGTTTACCAAGTTCTTCGTAACTTATATACATATATATATATATATATATATATATATATATATATATATATATATATATATATATATATATATTAAGTTAATGGCTGCCTATTCATATTCGAGAATACCTGTCTATTGAGTTGGCTAGCTAATCCCTCAGGTGTATATTGCGTTTGTTCAATACCTACAGAGCCCACATTTGATTTATACTGCAACTATGCTGAGCAAACCTCAGTTACAGTTTTTGAGAGGGAAGTGGTTTATCTAGTGTGATAAACAGTCTGAACAAGGCTACCACTCAAACCCTCGGTCACGATGACTTGTGAATTCGTGCTAGCACAGCGACCGACGGCTCCCAGGTGTTCCGTCTAACCAATTTCACTCACTCATATATATATATATATATATATATATATATATATTATCTGTTATATATGTGTGGTACTTATTGGAAAGCGCTCAATATCAGTGATAGAGCTAACATATTCAGTTGTATGGATATGAGTTTGTAAACCCTGGGTTTCACGCTTTTGATATTATTTCCCTCTCCCGCCGCCAACAAATATCAAACACAAAGTAACATAAATACATTCAAATTTTAAAAAATAAATCTGTCTGATGATCGCAAAAAAAGCGTGAAATCCAGGGTTGCAATCTCATATCCATACAACTGAATACATACATACATACATATATATATATATATATATATATATATATATATATATATATATATATATATATATATATATATGCGTGTGTGTGTGTGTATGTTGTGTGTATATGTGTGTGTTAGCAAAAACTAAGCCCAGGTAATATAATAAAAAAATTGCTTTTTTTGTCGGTTCTTTTCGGAGTATATCATACTTTATTTTCGAACCTGAAACGTAAACAAAATAATTCATGGATTCCCCACCACCATCAAAAAAGATACTATATTATTCCGAAGTACTAAATGACCTAAATAGGAATCCATTATATCTCGTGGCTACATATATCTTCAAAGATATCCCTGTTATTTTTCCTTTTTTTTTATAATCAAATTCCTAACTTCCGGTCTGGAGATGGAAAAAGCACGGTTGTAGTTTGCCTCCAAAACTCAACACACTATCTAAGACTTGCAAAAATATTTTATTTCTCATAAGTGCATTGGTTTTGGGCAAAATAGTATCAGTAATAAATACTGCACCCCTCAGCATGTTAATTTTTTTCAATTATTAGACTGATTCTAATGAGTGTGATGTCGGATGACCTTTGTGGTGACACAATTCGATTGATATCATTTAATCCAGTATTCACTCAACTGCTGTACAATCGACCCATGAATAGTTACTACCAATAAAAATTGGAGACCAGGGAAGAGTAAGAGAAGCCAACAAGTGTAGTAGATCTATAAAAAAAAAAGAGAAATATAAAAACGTCACCTTTACGGTGATTTCCATGAGGATCGAATTATCATCAGTGACGAGGGAGATCAACATATCCTCTTCTCTATGGCAAAGAGATCTGCAAGAAAATTCGTACGCGATTACGCATAATTATGTTCCGTTAAAAAGAAAATCGGGGGAAAATACAGACAACAGCAACAACAACAACCTGAGAAAATCAACGAACCATTAAATAAATTAAGCAATGTTTTAGCGCTTTTTACTCCAGGGTCGAATTTTTTTTTTCCGAGCAATCACGTTTATTTCACGTGGGATTAATCAGATGAGATTTCTTTATTCTATCTCTTCGTTTTCCTTATTTCTCTCTTGTAAATAATTGCGGTGAACGTTTCACTTGGAATTGGGACCTCATACAGAACAACAATGGCGTCCAAGAAGTGAAAGGAATGCTTTGAATTTAGACACAAGAGCGACTGGCTGCAACGAAACGAGTGTTCGATTCTAGCTTCAGTTACTTACCTTCTTTGATTGGTAATGACTCGAAAACAATGCCCGTTCAACATTTATAAATTTTTGCCGTAGTATGCATAAAAGTTTACTTAGGTCCATTACTAGAAGTCATTTAACAAACAAGACAAAATGTTTCATCCTTTGAAAAGTATCCATTAATAGTATGTTTTTTACTTGTAGCGGAAACGAAACGCAAACGGTCTCGCTAATAGCTACTGAAAACGGTACCCGCTCTCATTGGTCAAAGAGACTACGTTTAGTATGCTGTCTGTGGAAAAAGACAACACATGGCTGTCTTCCTAAAACAGAGCCTCTCAAACTCCGGAACGTCTAATTATGAAGAAAAAGTGTCTACCATCTTCCCCATGAGATATGTCAGGAGGGTAAGTTGAGCCATGCAAATTATCATGCATGATTCTTTCATTAGACAACAACTAAAGGTTTAGGCTTCTATAAAAGCGGGCACATTTTCTGGGAAGAGGTAGAGTTTAGCAGTACGCTGC